TACAGACTTTTCTTAGAGTGTAGCATACTAACTAACTACTAATACACTGCTTAAAGCATATTAGTTGAGAATGTGTAGAATTACTAGTTTACTGTCACAGTCTTCAGCGGGTGTGCCCATGATGGCCACCACATGACACTTTTCTGTGAGCACATGGCTTGTGTTGTGTTTGTTTGGTGCCATGTGCTCTCTCCTGTCTATTGTCTGACACCGCCCACCTTGTTACCGAACAATAAGGACCCTAAGACAAGTGAAGTGGCCATCTCATCTCCAAGTGACATCCTGACTCTCTGACTCTCTCTCTCTCTCTCTCTCTCTCTCTCTCTCTCTGGGCAGGGATGACGTAATGGCGCACTCGTCAGGTCAAGTTGTAACTTTTTGATACAGCCTGAAAAGTTGCAGGAAGCAGTGTTGCCAACTTAGCAATTTTGTTGCTAAATTTAGCAACTTTCCAGACGATCCCAGCAACTTTTTCTTCCAAAAGCACCTAGCAACAAATTTAGCAATTTTAAAAGTTGATTTGGCAACCTTTAGCATCTTTTGATAAGTGACTCAGACAATAAAAATAAAAAGACAATAAAATAAAAAGATAAACAATAAAATAAAAAGACATTTTCCATCCAAATTACACAAAAAGAGGAAACCACAGATGCCTAGCAGTACACACATCACGTGAATTGAGTTAGCTGCTATTTGCAATTGTTCAATTTAATAATAATAATTTGATAATTGAATAATTGTTCATTTATGATACACTTTGTTAGTAGCTTGTACCTGCGATTGTTGATCAGTTAGTATACTGTAAGAAAAATGGAAAATCTTTCAGGACATTATCCATTATCCATCATCCATTGTGACCCTGTAACCCGAAAACACAATGCGTAATTTAAAATGCAGGTAAAAAACCATTACGGAAAATTCTTTCATATTAACATAGTAGATTGTGCCTTATTTTTACAGACTTTTCTTAGAGTGTAGCATACTAACTAACTACTAATACACTGCTTAAAGCATATTAGTTGAGAATGTGTAGAATTACTAGTTTACTGTCACAGTCTTCAGCGGGTGTGCCCATGATGGCCACCACATGACACTTTTCTGTGAGCACATGGCTTGTGTTGTGTTTGTTTGGTGCCATGTGCTCTCTCCTGTCTATTGTCTGACACCGCCCACCTTGTTACCTCATTATTGTTTAAGTTGCTCCACCTGTGTCTCCCTGGTTAGCCTCCTCGTTTGGATGGATTAAAGTGTGCCGTGTCCAGTCAAATTGAGATTGTGTCTCTAAGACAAATAAAACACAAACATTCTCCTTACTTGGCCATGTATGCTCAGTGCACAGTCAGGCCTCAGCTTGTGTTGTAAGACAGTTTTGATGTTAAACAGTGCAGTGTATTTTTTTCCTTAAAATATAAACTTTTTGTTGATATTGCTTTAATTTGAATGAGTTTCTTCTCTTTATTCATTGGCAATAATGTAGCTTTGAGCAGGGTATATTTTTTGTTGGAGAGCATTTGTATGCATGAGTCCGCTCTATCCCTGGTTCTGAGTAAAACATCTCCGTAAAAACAACAAAAGCCTAAGCAGAGCTCTTTCCATTTGAAAAAAGAGAATACAATATTGCTGGATAACATTGTGTAATAGCGTTCATGGTGCATTCCATTAATACCGTACACTTTGTGAGACTTCTGAACAGTTTTGTAACACAGGGATTTTGCACAGATTTTGCTAAATCTTATGAATTTTGTCCTGATTTTAACCCAATCTTGACGTTCTTGACTGCATCTAGCATTTAAAACAAAACACTTCTTAAAAATGTTGTAATGCTGTAAATAAAACAGATTATTGGAGTATTAAAAAAAAAAAAAGTTTTTCTATTTCAAATTTTCATGTTTAATTCAGTACTTGTTTTTATCCCTCTATCTCACTGGTCTTATAGGGTTTACATTAAAAAAAAAAAATTAATAAAAAATTAAACTCACAGCAAGACCGAATTAGTTGTCTTTCTTTCTTTCTTTCTTCCTTTCTTTTTATTTTCATCGGGGATTGTAGAAAAAATGGCAGTGCTCTATAGTTATTAGCTGAATCTCTAACACAAAACACCATTTTAGCATAATGATATGATTCTTAGAACTGTTACTGTGTGTAAAGAACCTTTAATAAAGGACCATCCTTGTTTGGAGTGATATCTTGTTTAATTTGTACTTTTTGATATTTTGACTATTTGACTATTTTGATTTGATTTGAAGGTCTTTTCCCTGACAGGTCTTATTTTATACCCTATTTGTTGAAAGTGCTTCATAATGTTTATTTACATTACATTTTATTTATTTATTTGGTATTTATAAGGCAATGGCAAGACACAAATTGTGTTTCTCAACTGAAAAAATTTGCTAGCTCATATTAAAATACAGTAGATTATAATGTTGTTAATGGAATATTTGTATAATTTAATCACAGGCTGATATTAAGATGTTTGAATCTTAATCCAGTCATATCAGTTAGTGCCTTAATGCTTAAACTTCAACAGACATTGCCAACAATGTTGGGGAGTAACTAGTTACATGTAACAGAGTTATGTAATTCAATTACAATGTAATTGTAATCAGTTACAGTTACTGAGAAAAAAATGTGTAATTAAATTACAGTTACTTATGAAAATGTTAACGATTACAAAGGGGGTTACATCTGAATTTTATTCACACACACACACACACACATATACAGATTTCATTAACTGCAGTGACTGCTCTAAAATATGAGACAATGTCTCAGGAATTTAGTTCAGAGAATAGGACACATGCTTATTCTATAACTTTTATTTAATTTTGGGTTTATGTATATGCTTTATTTTTTAAGATGAACCGTTTTATTTTTCCAAGGCATTGTTAGATGCAATGTTTCCATATGCAAAGATTTGATTTCAAAAACAGTATCATAGTCAACAGTATCATAAAATCACAGTATCATCTGTATTTAACCTCAGAATGATCTCAGTCTGATTTTGTGGTGGCGGTGATTTAAAATTAAATTATTAGAATCTTAATTCAAGTGATGAAGGATTTTGAAAGTCTGACAGTAATTACAACTCCAATTCCAGAAAAGTTGGGACATTTTGTGAAATGCCATAAAATCAAGAATATGTTGTTTGTTCATTCTCTTTTACCTTTATTTAACTGACTAAAGTACAAAAAAAAATTTCCAACTTAATTTTATTTTGTAAATATAAGCACATTTTTAATGTGATGGCTGTAACACACTCCCAAAAAAAAAAAAAAGTTGGGGCAGAGGCATGTTTACCATTGTGGCACATCAACCTTCCTTTTAATTACAGTGTTTATTTGTATACAACTTTTTAAAGTTTTGCAAGCAACATTTTTGTCCACATGATACAAGACTTCAGATGCTCAGCAGTCTGTGATCATTGTTGTCTGATTCTTCTTTTCATGACTGGTCATACATTTTCAATAGGAGACAGATCTAGCACATTCCCTCTGTGTCCATGAAACCATGCTGTTGTAGCACATGAAGAATCTTGATCTAATAACCATGGACTTCCCATGAAAGACTTCATCTTGATAGCAGTATATGTCTCTGTACAATCCCATTATATGCCTCCATGCCAATGGTACCTTAGCACATATTCCAGTCACCCATGCCGTTTACTCTGCTGCACCCCCATACCATGACAGACGTTTGCCTTTGCATCTGTCGCTGATGAAATTCTGGATGGTCCCTTTGGTTTTTGGGACTGAGAACTTGACGTCCATTTTTCCCAGAGACAAGTTGAAATGTGGACTCATCTGACCACAGCACACATTTCCACTGTCTTTTTGACTTTCTGAGATGAGCTCGGGCCCAGAAAAGCCTGCGGCATCACTGCATAGAATTGATGTATAGCTTTCTCTTAGAGTAACAGAGATTCAAGTTGCATTTATTGATGCAGCGACAGACTTTGTTAAGTGACAGCGTTTTTCCAAAGTACTCCTGAGCCCATGTGGCTATATTTAACACGCAGCATGACGGCTCACACACATTCAACTGAGGTTTCCTGCCTTGCCCAACACAGACTGAGATTTCTCTGGATTCCCTGAATCTTTTCACAATATGTATGGTAGTTGGTGAAATATGGTAGTTGGTGATTTTGCATTGAGAAATTGAATTTTTGATTTGTTTGACACTTCTCATGAAATGTGGCACAAAGTGATGAGCCATAATCCAGCTTTGCTTGCAAAGACTGAGATGCTCCTTTTATACCCAAACATGATACCCTCACCTATTACCAGTTCACCTGCTTACTGTGAACGGTTTCAAAACAGTTTAATTGGGATATTCTATAACATTTCACTTTTATTTTTGCCTCTGTCTCAAACTCTTTTGGAGTGTGTTGCAGCCATCAAAATCTAGCTAATAATAGTATTAAACTTACAGTTCGTAATAGCTTAAATTTTGTAAAATCTTTAGGTGTATTTTATGGTCTCCGAATGCAAAAGGTGGAGATGCCAAGTGTTTCCTAATACATACCTCATATCACTGGGTTTTGTTCTGTTTTTGCTTTGGATCCATAACATCACTGTTTGTGATGCAGATGTTGACCTCAACAAGTAAGTACTGACCTCAACGGAGAAGCATGGATTTACCTTTAAAAGAGTGGACGCCGCTAGACTGCTAAATGACCTTTTATTGCTCAGTGACCTTCTGAGTGACAATAATGAACACTGTTGAATTGTATTTGTAAGTGGTTCTCTGTATAGAGTGATAAGGGAGATTGGGGAGCTTAACCACCATCCCAGTGATGCGGTTTCCCTCCGGTGTTATAATCCTTTTAAATATACTGAGCTCTTCCAAGTGCTCTTGAATCATAATTGAACCCAGGATAACTAAGA